ATAAATTTATCGTTTTCGAAGTGTATCCGGGGAGGGTTGGGATGAATAGGGATGATGGGGATGAACGAGTATCAGTCAAAGAAGTAGGAATTAATTTCGGCAACCACTGTTTTATTGGGTTTGGGATTCTTAATGTCAATAGCGCAATTTATTATAGTATTATTGTTAACATTTACTGAAACGTTAACCATCGTTTTTTCCACGTTGAAGTCTCTAGAGACACGTTTTACTTCCATCATCATTTAGCTGAATTATTTCTGACGTTATTGATGGCGGATTACAATTACCTTCATATCCTTTATCAAGAATTCTATTAGACTTTTTGTTCTTGGTTTAATCGATACAACTCCGGTAATGGTGGATTTCGAACTATTTATTATCCCGGCGCCTCCACCATTTAAATAGTCGTTTTGATTTTGTCAATCTGGCTTGCTTGCCTCTCGGACGTGCAACCGCGCCTTTACAGCCAATTTTTCCGCCACAGAACCACCCTTTCACCCTCCGTCTATCTCCACTTCGCACTCTCTCCGCGTAATTAACTGTCGAAAGAATGCAAACGTACACTATATCATCCCTCGACCACACTCATCCATCCGCGAAGGATATCATCCCAAATTGACGTCCAATCAGAACCAATTCCGGCTCACATTAGCGACGCAACTAGTTGAAAAAGGCCCAAATCCGTCGTTGATTAAACGTCGCCGACATGTTAATCCTTCTCGCTTTAATCACGCAATGTTTTTTTTGTAAGGGATTATCGGGGCACATCCTCCAATCATCGGCGAATAGAAAGGGCCGATTGAAGGTCCAGACGGGAGGACGGTTTAGCAGGACGTGACAAGTATATATGAGGCGGAGGTTCATTATGGACAGTGCGTTAGTTATGTGCAGCTTTCAAGCGTCATTGACAAGCTCGGCCGACATTAATAAAGTGAGACGTGTGCCTTTGACTACACTCAAATGAACAATCGGCCCGATTTAACAGGGAGGGATCACGGCGCCGTGGAGGGGCGCGGGATTTATGATGGTTCTTTCGAGTTGTGGAAGTGCGAACTTGTCACTAGCTGACCCGGCATGAGGGGACTAGAGGTGTTGCCTTCCATCTGGTCCCAGGACGATATTGATCACTGTGTTTATCCCGACTACAAGAAATACGACGGCTAGTTTGATGTAGTTATATAGTGGGGGTTCTAGTCACTTTTTTACTTTTTGCTTAAAAATTTGTCTTTGTGAGGCAACCAGGTCAAGATCGATCCAGGCACGCGTTCGAGCCCGCACAGTCCCACTAGTTTACCTATTAAAGCATGTGTATTTGTAACCGTCACGCCGTCTTCTGGCTCCAGAATTAATTCGCCTAAATTTTGAGCGTGTAGCCCCATCCCGCCTTCCGCGTTCCTAATAAATTTTTGTTACGTAACAATGTAGCCAAATTAGCAGTGCAAGCTCGTTCTCTCTAAGCGGTCCTCCGCAAAGTTGGCAGCACGTCGTAACAGTTCCGTTGATGGCGTTTATGGGCAAGGTCTAGACGTAAAGGAAATAAAGCCCAAACGTATGTAAGCCGCCGAATTTAAAGGGGTTGCAGAATATGAAATATTAAGGGCGTATTTCCATATATTACCGTCGTGTATCTATATAATAGATATTGTTATTCAAGAAGCGATAGCCGCATTATCTAAATCATCGACGCGAAGGTTTATCAGCTTTTGCGAAAATGGTGTGCAAAGGGTTTTAACCGGTGACAAATGTACATTCGAGACAAAGTTATTAAATTGGACAGTCGTAATAAATATCAGGGGATGAACGGGCATCGTCAAGGATAACCAAAGGGAAACAATATTTTGTTAGCGGAACGCAGACGAATTTATTGTTTTCGGCGAACGAATTCATTCACAGAAATAACGACAAACTTGTGTTTTTAATTAGTGCGCAAGATGCGTGACGCCTGCTCCTCGAAATGGGTGCCGTATTGCTGTACTATGTTACATAACCGCATCCATGTTGCGTGCTGGAAACACAGCACAACTACGTAACGTAACTTAACGACCGCACTTCTCCGAAGCAACAGCTTGAAGACGCAGAATCCGCCCGACGCCGATTAAAGGCCCGATCCCCGCCAATTCCTGCCTTTATAATGAAGGTATGTAATTTGCACTCGGGTCAGGCAGAGGAACGATCCAAACTTTGCAGATGTCCGCAAAGAATCCGATTCCGTGTGGGTTATTGCGGCGACAACGTGAAATCAAATTAGCATATTTATTCAAATGCGTTCATCTGTGTTGGAATTAGAATCAAAGGCGTCCCTCCCGTAAATGTCCTCGCGATTAATTTGTACCCAGACACTAAATTATTCCATTATCTGTATGTAGCCGGCGGCCGGGCCGCGTTTAACTTACTTAAAGTTAACGCTACGTGAGAGTTATTTGCGTCAAAACGGTGAGGAATTCTTTTCGAAAGCAATTAAATGGTAAATATTTGGGACCGGAATGATTTACACAGAGAGGTAAATATTTAAAGGAATGCGACGGGATTATTTTGAAACAAGAATAATTGCTGAGCTGATGATTGGGGCTCATTAAGATTTCGTCGGAAAGGGGTAATTTAGGGCGCTTTTTTCGGCTCGCCGGGCCGAAAATACAAAAAATTTAGGTTAATTGGAAAGCAATAAAAATCGATTGATACGGTCCTGCACTTTTTGTATACAGTGCAGCTTAATTATATACCGCGATGTCAGTGCCGGCCATTTGGCTTCTTTGAACATCGCACAACAACATTTTTTAACTAAGTGGAGCAAGCTGAAATATGGGTTTTCTATAAATGATATTGAAGTAGAAGTGTGCCGCCTCTCACTTTATACGGACTTATTCAAAAATGTGAAATTACGATCAACGTTATAACTGTAATATTAATGGGTGGTATTGTTTCAGGTACGTTTAGTTGGTAGCCCTGGGTCCTCGGGGTAAGTACTCCATTATGGCGTCGAAGCTGCCAACAAAAACTCGTAATTCATTATGTACACATTCGGCGTTTTTGAGGAAAAAGGGTCGAATCGATGCGGAAACATTAAACCTTTGTAAACGAATTAATTCCGATCACAATAGACACAATAGGACAAAAAATCGTAATTTGACGTAAAATCCATACAAACATTAACGCACAAAATGATGTGTTTGACATGCAACCGGCAGCTGAAAGCTCGCTTTAAAAAAATCACAACATCCTTTAAATTAAACATTGGAAAAATAGTCCGTGCGCTTTATAAATCGTCCCATTTTTCATCTCCTAATCTGAAGCGAGTCCTTATTTTTAATTTAGGTCATTGCAGATAAGCCGTTAAGCATTATCAAAAGTTTGCCGGAAGTCTCGGGTAAAATATTGGTCAAAGTTGCAGCCCGATCTTTAATACCCGATTTCTATACCGCTGCCTGTTTATGAATAAATTAACGAATTAATTGCTCGCAGGTTGGCGTCGTTAAAATTCATCAGAAATTAGGAATTTGTTTTGCAAATTGCGGGGGCTTTGCTCGATCAAAAAATTATCAGTTAATCGTCGCATAATTGGAAGGATTCGCTAGAAATTTTTTCAATAAATACGGGCGAAATTATAGCAACTAAATTGGGAAATTCGCTGCTAAATATTGAACGAGGCAATAAAAACCTGCAAACAATAAATGAGGTCTTCTAAATTCTGCGCTGTTTGTGCGGGGCATTTTTCAAGCCGGCTCGTGATGAATTTTCACTTCATAATATCGGGGATTTAAAATATTGCCAATGTTTCGGCAGACCAAGGAACTCTGGACGCTGCTGAATATTTATCTCCTCTTAATTGCTTCGCTCGTTCTTATAAACCGCAAGTCGTAATAAACCGACCATCAGGAAGAATTCAATGAGTGACGATTATATCGGACAGCCGGCAACAAAAACCTCGTTGTTGTTTTACAAACTCCTGATACCCTGTGCGTGATATTTACGTTACATTTCCGCAAAATTCATTAAAAAGCAGTCAAAACAAAACGCGGATATTTATTTTTCGGGAAAGTTTGTCTGCCCGCGTGGTAATTGGAGCTCGAATCTGGCCGGTTCGTAATTTATTAATTAGTTCGTCGTAATTGCGTAGGTAAACAGTACACGTTTAAGTTGGCAGGCCTGAAGGCGCGCCGGCGAGTGTGCATGGAAATAATGTTATAAAGTGGCGAACATTTATAAGTCCCCTTAAATCCTTTGAAGCATTTCAAGAAGTTTTATCGCTTGCTTAAGAGTGTTGACTGGAGGCCGGCTTTCGGCAAACTTCAGAACTTTCGCTTGATTAAGTGAAATAGTTATTTACATGTTAAGTGCGGGAACAGTTGTTTTGCAGACGAGTGTGTAGTTTCCAAGGCGAGTGCGCTCCGCGCACGAGCGGTGGATTTCACACGAGTCAAGCAAAACTGTTCCCGCACGTAGCATGTACAAAACTTTTTGCGCGAATCCGTTATGACAATATTTAGAAATTTATTTGCTAGAAATTTGTTGTTACATTTCATTTGTGAAGTAAATCAAGTCGTCGATAACCAACATCTAGTCACCTGAGCAGCAGAACTGTCAAAGCTAATTGAAGCTAATTTGTACAAAATGTCTTCGGATGGTAGTTGCACCCCTCCAGAAGTTAGAGAAACTGCAAATATAGCGGTCAGTAATTTATTACCGACAAAATCCCGAGCGCGATACGAAAATAGCTATCACGAGTTCGTCAAATGGTGTGATCGTAAACATATCAAAAATTACACCGAAAACTGCTTGCTAGCGTACTTCGAAGAAATCAGTATTCATAAAAAGTCACTATGGTGTATTTACAGCATGTTAAAATCTTGCATTAATTTAAAACATAACATTGATATTTCTAAGTATCCAAAATTAATAGCTATGTTGAAAAGGAAAACAGAACATCATAATCCCAAAAAATCACAAGTACTTAATGAAGAACACATTCTTAAATTTTTAAGCGCTGCACCGAATAGAGACTATTTACTAATGAAGGTAATTTTTATTTTATTAGTTCATATTGACACATTGAAAATGTATTCTTAATATTGCAGGCAGTGTTAGTTATCGGCATCTCTGGCGCGTGCCGCAGGGGAGAATTATGCAAGATGTTAGTTGATGATGTTGTTTTCAAAGATGACATTCTTATGGTTTGTATTCCTGAAACAAAAACCTACGTTAAACGGGAATTTTTCATATCAAAAGGTGATTGGATCAAAGTAATTGATCAGTTCTTAAAAATACGATTGTTAGTAAAAGGTAACAACAAAAGATTATTTTTAACATACCGTGATGGAAAATGTATAAATTCCCCCGTCGGTATTAACACTATTGGCAGAGTACCATCTTTAATTGCTGGGTATCTGAAGCTGCAAAATCCTCAAAATTACAGTGGTCACTGCTTCAGGAGAAGCAGTGCTACATTATTAACAAATAAAGGAAGTGACTTTTTATCAATCAAACGGCATGGTGGATGGAAATCTTCGTCAGTTGCCGAAGGTTACATTCAGGATTCTGAAAAAAATAAAATGAAAATTGCAGACATTTTCTGTGCAGAACCAGGATTGTCAAAACCAAATACTTACATTTTCTCTGCAGAACCAGGGCCGTCGAAACCAAATAGTTATCATGTTTCCACTGCTCTTAATAACGAAAATACTTTAAAGGCTTCTGGTGTTTCGATTTCCTCCTGTAATCAATGTACAATTAATGTAAACATTTACAACAGTAATAAGAACAAAGACACCGAATAATTAGTAGTTCGTTCATACTTACCTGTAACATTAAAACTTCTGTTACTATCTTTTGTAATAAAATGTTCTCAAAATTTTGTCTTATTAATCATCTTTCGTTGATCACACCGTGCCCTTTAATCGGTGTTCACTGACACTATTGAAAGCACAGAGTCTGTCACCTTGTCATCTGTCAAAAAATTTCCAATAGATGGTGCTGTCCTTTTTCAAAAATTAATTTATTTCAAGAAAATCTTGATGTTTTCAACATAGAACAAGTTGAAAAGTAACATTTAAGCTTAGATTCTTTAACTTTGGTAGGATAGTTTATTTTTTAACGTTCTTTTAAAGAAGAAAAAAACCTCCCGTTTTTCGCACACGAGTGCTCGCGAAACACACCAGACCTGCAAATTTGACGTTTCCGATCGCTCTTAGAGTGCGTGATAACTTGATTTTTGATTAATGAGCGCAAAAATTTCTTTTCGAAAAATTAAATACACAAATTGCGCGCCACCGTCGACAGACGATTAAATCCGGGGGCGGCAAACGAGCTACGTAACGATGAAGGGTTATTTAAAATAACGGGCGAGTAGTGAATATTTAAGTGGGGCGGAAGGCGTCCGGTACTAAGAAGTGTGAGATGAATTAGTTGCGCTTTCGTCCGAAGCGTCTTGACACGGGATCTCGCTAATGCGTAAAATTAAGCGGCGAGGCGGAGAGTACATCCACGTAAAAAATACGGCGATTAATCATCGACTAAATTATAAATTGCAAGTGCGTTTATTTTTGCGTTTCGTATGATTTATCGCCGAAATTTAAAACAGTAAACGCCAAATCTTATAGGGTGCGGAGATTTATCACTATTTTAAAGGATGCCTGATCAAGATTTATGATAATTCGTAATATGATTTGTCGTTTCGATTCTATAACAGACCTTATTTGGCGTTTATTAATCTTTATCGCGCTTCGGGTTAATAAATAATTTATCGTGTTTCGCACTTTACGCCTCATTTGCGCTGCCACTTTTCATAACGTTTTCGCTTCTTGTAATTTTTTAGAGAGAGCTTGTTTATGAAATGAGGAGTTTATTTGCTAATTCGCCGGAATTTATGCGTCGATGTTAAGTATTTTAGAGCGGGATTTTATGATTTCGCGAGGGCTTCTGGAGACGCTTGACACTCGGTGCCTGATTTAATTACTCCGTGATTAGGGTGATACTTGACGACCGAAGATGTATGATGCACACGTTCTCATCCTAATGTGTGTCTTTGTTAGACGGCTGATGAGAGCTCCGGTTGTCACGCCATCACGTGTGCGTGACAGTGACAGCCGGATTAGCATGCAAGGAGGAAACTCCATTGATAAACACTGCGCCGAGAGGAGAAAAAGGAAGCTGCAGATCGACATCTCGCAAACCAACGACTAAAAAGCAACAATCACCATAACACAACACTAATACACAAAAATACAGTTATATAGAATAAAGCAAATTCTATACGTTTGGTATTGAATTTTTCTGACATGTTTGCTTTGGCGCTCACTCTTTTTTTTGTGAGCGCATATACGTGTCTGCTTTCCATAAAAACGCTCATTCGAAACTTTAACAACATCGTTCATCCATAATGACCAACCGCAGCGAACCGACCAAACACTGAAACAAAGCAGTTGAAATAATATGGACGCATCAACTGACGTGTATATGTTGGAGTTCGGAATTTTGCTGTTGTTGTGCGACCACCATACAATGTAAAACGTCGATTACATGTTTGCATATTTCACACTAGTTAATTTTGTATTTTGATTCCATTAAAGCTGGCTTTAGGCGCGATGACTGATTTTTACACAGTGCACTGTGTTTTCTGGATAATATTAATTTAATATTTGGAGGATCAATTGGCGCGACCAGTAATTGTCACTTCCACAAACGCCAATTTTAAACCCCTACGCGTCAACAAGAAATGAATATCACAATTTAAACCTGTACGGAAATTTATAATTTAAGATTGCTGGAGTTTTAAAACCCGAAACTTCTAGTTAACTCACTTTTCTTGGCTGTGCATAATAGAAGAAATAATTAAATTTAAATTCTGCATGAACCGATTGCTTCTAGGGTGAGTAAATCTGTACTATGGATGAGTTTTTACTTGAAATTTATCACTGCACTCATATTTTTTAGATTTGCTTAAACAAGTGGTTCAAAAAAATTAATGATTGAGGCGAGCAATTTTTCTAGTCTTATGACTAAGCAGTGGCCCCGCCCACCCACCCCTTCTTCATTCCAGTGATTAGTCTTAATATTGTTCAATCTTATCTTAGCAAGTACCTACTAGAGCCTCCCACCCACCCTTTATTTTCTCAGAAGGTATGTTTGCCATATCAAATCTTATCTTAACAAATATTAGCGCCGCCCACCCACGCTTTATTTTCTTAGACGGTATGTCATTTGCCAAAAACGTGTCTTATCTTAGCAGGTACTAGCGCCGCCCACCCGCCCTGTTCTCATTCAAACGATTTTATTTCTGTTGAATATAACATCCACCTTTCAGACTACATAAAATGAATCACTGAAATGTAGGAGGGATGGGTGTTCGGGGTTAATTATATTATAATAATAATTCTGTAAAGTGAGAATGGGAACTAATAACTAATAGAACATATGTTGTCAAAAAAAGAAAAAAAAAGCTAAGAGTTCTTGTTATACCATTTTCTATAAGTTTCATTTCTTATTTCAGAAGAAACAATGAAAACACGGGTGGGTGGGCGGGGCTAAGTTTAACTTTTCTTACAGATTCTTTTATAAACAAGCAATAGCATACCAACTTCCGTCTCAGAGCTAATAAAATGAGTAAATCAAAGCGGAAAAAGGATGGGTATATATAATTTGTCAAAATCCGCCTCATCTTACCAAACACTAGCCCCGCCCATCCACCCTTTATTTTTTTACACCGTAAATCATTTGCCAAAATCAGTGTTATCTTAGCAAGTATAAGTTTTGACAATAGGAAGTGAGGTGCAGTGACAGATCTACCAATTTTGACCAAAATTCATCGTACTTGTTGATCAAGCTGTCTAGTACCTACTTTTCTCTTTGTGGGTTGTTCAAGACATTTTCAGAATGTAATATCTCCAATATTAACACACTTATTGTTATATGAAATTTTAAATGTAGCCTGTCTACAATTTTCACTATTATAGGTATAATACACGGCAGTTTTTTAAAGACAGTTTACAATCATATATTTTTTTATTTTCATCACGTATTTTTAAAAAGCAATACGTCAGTTGTTTATGAAAATTTCGGAAGGCGATTTTGACTACTGTTTTCTACAAATCTGAAAAAAATGCTGAATAATTCAGGAGTGCCTCTAGATTCTACTAACTGATTAGTTCTACAGTCATTTTCCAAATTACAAAAACAAAAATCGTGTGACAAAATAATCAAGGCGGATTCATAAACCACAAGTACAGGAGTTGTTATTTAAGAAATTTTTAAATAGTGTTTTCTACGCAAAATTTCAAACTGGCGGCATCAAGTTGTGGGTAGGGATGATTAGACAAATTTTACTAGGGAAGCACAAAATTTCAGTAATCCCGATGTATTTAAATTATTCCACATTTGCACACCACATTACACTAATTCTAAAATAATATTTAAAAAATCGACGTTAAATACTTCCTGTAATATCTAATTCTCTCAAACAGTATGAAATTCAATAATAATACGAGTATATTATTAATAATTTTGTTGAATCTCATAATAATCTTTGTTTCTGTTTGATTGATGAGATCCCAAAATTTCAAAAATTTGTGGAATTTTGGAAATCGTCGGAACATTTAGAATTTCTGATATCTAGAGCTTTTTTGGATTCTTTGCATCCCCTGAAATTTATAATCCTTTAGAATTTTTAGAAGCTTCGGAATCTTTGGAAATTTCCTTCAGAATCTCTAGCGTATTTTGACTCTCTAGAATCGCTGGAATCTCTAATAATAATTAATACAATTTCTGGAATTTCAGTAAATCCAATTGTGTGTGTATTTAGAATTTGTGGAATCCCCCAATTTTTTGGATTCTTTATAATTTCTGAAATTTACTGATCCTTTGATTTTTCTGGGACCTTTAAAATTTTTGAAATATTTGGAAAAAAAATCCTTTGAAATGTAACATCTTGTGGAAATTACTTTAAATTTTCTTTCATTATGACGGTCTGGACTCTTTAAAATCTTTAGAAATTTTTGTTTATTTCCATACAATATGGACGAAAATATTGAAAGCAATTTAGAATTTTTAGAAACCTTAGAATCACTGACAACCTTAAAATCTTTTAGAGTCTTTGGAAGCCTTGAAATCTTTGGTAGCTTTATAATTTTTAGAATATTTAGAATCTCCAGAATTTCAAGAATCTTTAGAATCTCTTTTCCGAATCTCTAGCTTCCTTTGAATCTGTAGAATCGCTGGAACAGCTAGAGTCGAAAACTTGTACAACTTCTAGAAAGTCTAAAACCTCTAGAATCTCTAAAATTACTAAAATCTCTTGAATCGCTACAATAACCGTAATGTCTAGAATTTCGGGAAGCTCTGACACTCTAGATTCTATAGAACCTCTGGAAACTTTATGTTATTTGAAACCTCGGAAATTTTGAAATTTTTACAACCAATTTCAAGAATTCCTGACATTTTTGGATTTTCAGTAAATCCAGAGATCCCAAAAATTTGTGGAATTTTCGAAATCTTTAGAATATTTAGAACCGGTTTATAGAAAGCGAAATTAAAGTTTTAATTGAGGTTCGTTGCTAGGAAACGTTCATGTTTTAACCAATCACGGGCACATTTTAATCCTGTGTTAAATTAATCGAGGATTAAATATTTAATTCCTTTTTTTATAAACCGGCCCTTAGAATTTCTGAAATCCCGAGCTTTTTTGGATTCTTTGCATTTTCTGAAATTTCTAATTCTTAGAATCCTTTAGAAATTTTAGAAGCTTTGGAATCTTTAAAATCCATAGAGTCCTCCTTCAGAATCTCTAGCAGCTTTTGAATCTCTAGAATCGTGGGAATTTCTAATAACTCCGAGTCTCTGGAATCTTTAGAATCTTAAAAACATTTGGGATCTTTGAAAACTTTACAACCAGTTGCAAAAATCGCTAAAATTTTTGGAATTCTAGTAAATCCCGAAATGCCAAGAATTTGTAGAATTTTGAATTCTTTGGAATTTCTAGAATCTCCCGATTTTTTGGATTCTTTATAATTTCTGAACTTTACTGATCCTTTAATTTTTCTGGGACCTTTAAAATTTTTGGAATATTTGTAATTATTGGAAAAAATTCGTTGAAGTCTAACATCCTGTAGAAAAGACTTTAAATTTTCTTTGATTATGAAGGTCTGGAATCTTTAAAATCTTTAGA